GTACACGAAAGGGGGAAAAAAGCCTGTTAGAATGGGGGAATGTAGCCTAGATAATAACAGCCTTACTAGAAATGACCTGAATCATATTTGATGAAATCTTTCCAGCTGTGATGGATTGTAAAAGAATGTACCTCAAAACGAGTTTATCTAAGTGCACTGTCCGTGTTTTTTTAACTATATATACCGGTAATGGTTAGTTTATATTTTGAAAAAGTGATAAAAGTAAAGAAGTAATGATCTGCAAATAAAAAAAAAAATTAAAATTTAAAAAAAAAATTGTATGTGAATTCAAATTTTGGGGACATTTTTTTAACTAATAATATTTGAAAATTTTACTATCTATACGGGAGATAAACTTCTCCATATTGATGGTGCTGTTTTTCAATAAATACAATATTTTAAATTTTAAATAACTTTTATTCTTGTGACATACTAATATGCACTGACATATCATCAGAATTATGATAAACTTTCATTTATTATCTTTCTTAGTTTTCTCAAATTCAGAGCTAGGAGCTATACTCTGAGCTAACAAATTACATGTTTGTTTAAAAAGAGTTCCGTAAAGATGATACCTGAGATCTTATAGAAGCATTTAACAATCTATTAAATAAATGATGTGGAAAATTTGCATTTTTCATGCGCCTTCATGGGTGTTAATCTATGGAAAATACTAATCTTAGTTTATTAGGTATTAAAATGTGCAAAACATTAAATAAAAAAAAATGCTCCTCTCGTAGTTTTAGTTTCAGTTCGTACAGGTTTGTACTCATGATCAACACTTTCAAGCCCCATAATCTAACGTCAAAACATGTTTTACTTCATTTGTACACACTGTTGTGATGTATGTTGTACTTCCTTGTTGTACTTCGTGCTAGAAATTTTCTGTTGTAGCTGTCAAATCCATTCAGTTGCATAAGAGCAGACTTCTTAAGGTCTTCATTAGTCGAGAAGGATAAGTGGCAGATGCAATAGCAATTTGTTGCGTTGCACTTGCTTAATTGCAACGAAAAGATGAATTGCGACAAAACTATTTTAAGCACAAGAAAACATTGTCACATCATTATTTAAAAAATGGGGATGCCCCGAGGGAAAACTTTTCTGGAGGATTTTCTAGAGATGTCTGTTCTGAATTTCACTTATATTAAAAATTCATAGCATTGCTTAAAATGACGAAGGAAAAAAATTAAAACATTTGCTCAGCAAGATAGAATTCGAGAGGTTTTGATTCGAGTTGGGGGTTTTGTATCTAAATCACAAATTTCTTCTGAAATAGCAGGCTTTTCGATGTTACAGGTGTTTTGATAAAGCAGTTTACCTTACCTCTCCTTTTGAGATCTGAGTACTCATTCATAGTGTCTTATGTGAAATAAAGCAAGGAGATCACTCCAAAGAAATTTAGTATCTTAATAGCGTAAGGTTAGAATAAAACGCACTCACCTTTAAATTCTGCATATTAGACTTCTGAAGACTTCACGTCGACATGCACTTCGTGACATAAGAAATGAGAGGTTGCAATTACAGTAACGTTTGACTAACACTATTCACAAGTTACTTTGAAAACTAGCCTACTTATGTTTGCCTATACCAATAGTACATATTTCAACAAATAAATTTGATCTTCATATTCATTTACACTAATGATTACACTTTTTGCCACCTAATGAAGACAAGGACAATTTGTCTCTCTCATTCGATAGAGATGAATTACATATCATTGGAAGGGAGGATTGCTATAGATATATTGCACTTAAAATTTTAGCATTTTGGAAGTTGGACAATGTAATATGCTTACCCATTCTTCATTTGTGGCTTGTATCGGCAAATTTTTATTGTAAGTCATAAAAAGAATTAAGTATGCTTCACCTCGACGAAGAAATGCAATGAATGCTGCTAGCAGATTTTGAAACTATTTCAGAAACAAAATTATGCATTATAAATCTGTGTTTAAATGACCAAATAAAATGGTGCTGACATTTCACAGTTTGTAGCAATCTTAGAGGATACCACAGATTTTATTGCATCAATAAATATTCATTAGGTAAGATGGCTTACTGAAATAAAAGGCGGAATAATTCCTGTATGCTTCCTTCCTATTCAGAATCACAATGTTTAAAGAAACTAATCCAAAAATATGATTGATCTGTGTAAAGGTAAGCATAGCAAATCGGTAAGCAGCTACGTTTCTGAGAATGACAGATTCGACTTTTATTTGTAGTTGAGTATCTTCGTTATACATCATTCGCTACCTGTTCAATTAAAGGATCGATAACAGAGATTCAGCAGAGATTACAGCATACCAAAAAAATTGTTAAAAGATCAATTGATGATACAGTTCTTCAGTCAAGAGACATCAGTTTCAGATTTTTTTCGATTAGATGAAAATAAAAAGGTGGTAATGTTTTAGTATGAAAAAACCTCTAATATTTATAAAAAGCGACAGGAAACTAGCGGGGCGGTAAATTGGATTATCTTTAAGCGAAATGTAGAGCACAGTGACAAACAGCAAAATAACATTTAACTATTAAATCACTATAATAAATACAAATATGCAAAGCTTTAAAAGTAATAATATTTATTTGCATTCTTATGGGTATAAATAAAAAACATGTTAGAAGTAAAAACTTAACCGGATAATGAATTTTAGATTTTACTGCACTGACAGAAATAATAGTCTCAGTTGATGATTAAATGACACTGAAATGAAAGATGAAAGCCCAAGTTCGTATTCCCCTCCCGCATAACTTCTTTAATTTCTAAATATGGATCGAATTAGCATTAACTGGGAAGTACATTTTGCATTACTCAACAAAACATAAGAGCAATAGAGTAATTTGAAACTAAAAATGTGGTGGGTTTTAAAACCGATTTTCGAGAAATGTTTACAAGGAATTTTCTTACTATTTCTCACCACTCCCTACACACACATAGAAGAAAACTCACACTATCAAGCTGGACTGGCATGCTTTTAAACTGGAAGGTTTTGGAAAGAATGTAATTGCATATTTTTCTAAATAAAATATGTTGTTATTTCCGGAAGGTTTTTTTTTCAGTGCAACAAGCGATTTATTTAAAGGTTTCGTATTATAAAAAAATGACATATTTTCATGTAGATACAGAAAATGAATAGATACAAAATAAGTAGATAGATACAGAATAAGAAAATGAGATAATTAACTTCAGGAGTTTATTCCTTTCCCTTTTTTATTGCGTAAATACCATTACTTCTTAATAAAAATTTAGCTTTGTGTAAAAAACTATTCATGCACCCCCCCCCAAATTCTTTTTTTAAGTAGTTTATGAAACATAACTTCCATACGTTTAATTTCCATACAAAATAAAAAAGCGCATGCAATTATAAATGACATAATTATAACCTGGTATATTTACACATCTTTTACAACTAGATATATTCACACATACATTTGAAGGTTACGTTATTAAAGCTTAGAAATTTAAGATACAGCTTTAGACTACTTAATCAATACAGGTAGATATTCATGATTTCAAGCAATCTAATAATTTAAATCTGTAAAATTACCAAATACGACAAACCCGTATAAATCACAAGTTCCACTGTGGAATTTGTTTCCTCATGTGATTTAAATACCTAAATAAATTAAATAGCCTATGCTTTAATTATTTGCACATTATTACATTATTGTATTCACTTCTGAAATTGATTAATTTACCCCAGACTGACTTCAGAGATTTAAAGCAAATTAAAATCGATATTTACGCAAATGCGTGTCAAAACGTAGTTTAAATATTTGCATGCTAGTTTAAACTTTGGAAATTGAATTCCTGATGAAAATTATCTTAAACAGAAAGCTGCTGATATTTCAATTTTTCAGTGCATATGCATCTTTAAATCTGGTTCCCAGTCTTTATTAGAATTCAAAAAGTTAGTTTAGAGATTTAAACAGAAAGAATAATGAAAAGCAGAAAATTTCCTTATTGATTCCATATAAAATTTACTTTAATTCTCAGCAATTCAGGATTAAAAATATATGAAAGGGGGGAGGGAAATAAGCATACAACAAATGGAATGCATATACTTATCTTTATAACATTTTATGTTACATTTGCAAAGTTTATTCAAAATAGATGAAAAATGGAAGTGAACCCCTAATCCCCCTAAATCGGAGTTTGCTTATTACGATGCAGACTTACTTACAGTATTAATAAAGTGAACAGAAAGACAGAACTTTAATCATGCTTTTTACTAGTGTGCTTAGGTTAATTGATGATAATGCCATTTTCGAAATTTTTACATTTTCATTTCATTCATTCTGATGTCCCCCCCTCTTTCGACAGGAGAGACTTCATTTATTTTCTTTTCTTCGGTTTTCTTGTGATTTATGCTTTATTCTTTTACAATATCCCGGGCTAACTTCCTTCTTTTGCAGCCTTTTCGTCTGGACTTTTTTTTCCCCCTTTCTATTCGGCTTACATTTTCTTCATGAAAGAAAGATACTGCGATGCTTTGGATAATGACAGTGATGTCGGTGACAAAATTCTTATTAAAGCATTTGATCATGTTTATGAATCTCTAATCAAAAGGTGGTAAATATAAAGAAAAATAATTTGCTGACTTAAATAGTGTCTTCTTACATTTCAAGCCCGTAATTTACAGTATTTAAGAATGTTAAGATAAAATCTGGCCAGGCAAATCATACCTTTTAATGATCATTGGGAGATTTTAATTTCAAAAGTAATAACTACTTCCATATGTCAAGGCAGCTGTTTCAATAATAAATACTGTAGAATTAACAATCAAGTATCTGCGTAAGCATAATATGCCACCCATACAGTATCAGAAACGCGTGGAGTCGATACAGATTCTCATTATTAAGAGCGCAACACCTCCGCGAGGGGAACCACGTGATTAACTGCATGAACGAATACCGTTATGTGCAATGACATCTGCTGAATTTACATTACCTTGAAAACCCCATAATTAGGAGAGATGAATAAAATTAAATTATTCCACCACTTACCTGCATGTGATTTCATCCAAGGATAGAGATTTTTCGTTGGATTTGGAATATGTTTTTGTCCAGTCGCCGGGGAACTACTTAAAGCAGGTGACTCCACAACTCTCGTGTTGTTACTTTCTGATGCACGTGGAACTACTGAAGCAGGAAGTTCATACTGGTTTGTAGCCGGCGGGGTATAAGAAGGCGAGATCATTTTACAGTTGTAATAGTCTCCCGTTTCAGTGGCATCCCCATTATTTATTAAATCTGTCCTATATTGTACAACACCTGCCTGTTGATTATAAAAATTTTGATTGCAGTGATTTGAATCAAATGGGTGTTGAGATAAAGCCGCGTTTGCTATGTGGCCGTATCTAGGGGTGCCGGCTAGGCATGTGAGATCATACGGTGGTGTCTTGTCCGGTTGCGGGGGAGTCAAAGTGCAGGGTACGTCGAGACGGACTGAACTGTACGGTTGGTGATACCGTGAGTACGGCGACGTATACTGGTGAGAATAACTTTCGTATTCCGGATATTTAGAACCATGCAGGTAAAATTGTGGATCGTGTTCCATACCATTTGTGAAATTATTCGCAGAATTATTGCTGTAGGAAGAAGTCATATTGTCGGGTGAGGCGCGTGGATGATTTGTGATTCGTCTCTGTACCTCGCGCGTTCATCCTCGCCTTCCCTCGCCATAATCATATTCAGTGAAAACAACATCACGTGACGGCCACTGACCAATCCGAAGGCGACGAGCCGGCGTGTCACTCAGGGAAGACCACGGTTGTTTGCCAGTGACAGGATCAGATGGAAAAGCTGCGATTTTTCCCCAATCCCTTTTCTTTCGGGGGGACAACAACGATGCTTAAACATGCATTCCCCCGAATATCCTCCCCCTCGTTTCACTTCGCCGCTGATTCATACAATCGCTGAGGTGTTGAAAGGGTTTCACATGAGCGCTTCATTTTGTTTTTAGCCCGTAAATGCACTTGCTCTTTTTTTAACCCTCAGTGGGTGGCCCTCCTTTTTTAGTATTTTTCTCTTATGGTTAGGTTTCTTAGCGGTTTTTCCCAGCATAGTCGGCAGTCTTTTCCAAGTCTCGGGGAATTTTTTTTTTTTTTTTTTTTTGGTTTGTTTCCTTTTTAGATGACTTGTTTCCTATAGAGCATAAAGTCTGCGATAGTAAAAACTCAGGTAAAATATAACGGGAACAATCCTTAAATACGGTTTTGAAAATAAGCGGATTTTATATTTAAAATGTTTGGCCAAATATTACTGTCAATAATAACTGACATTGTTCTCTTGATTTTTAAGCAGTTGCTACATCAACGTTTTTAATTCTTAAGGACACTACCAGATACCTGATAAAGGTCTACAATTTTTTCATGCATGAAATTCGAAAATATTTATTCAAGAATTTTCCTTATTTTTATTTCATGAATTTTCGAATATCTATAATTTTATTTATTTGGTCGATTATTCGCTTCTCAGATTTTAGTATCAAAATCATATCATATTAGAAGAAAATGATAAGAATTGTGTTATTTTCTACCTCCACTTTATTAATGTCTGCAAAGTCAGCTCTGTAATATTCGTGATATAAACTTTGTAATTTTTTAGTTATATAGGATGAAATATAATTAGCAGTCTAAAGTAAAACTATTGCTCAATATAGTTGTTAATGATAATCATTTAAGAGAAGGCGTCTTTATCGGATGTAAAAGAACAAAGTTGTTCTCTTTTTATTTAGAATCTGTAGATGACCAACGCAAGTCAAAATTTAAACTAGGAATATCTAAGACATTATTATGTAAAGAATTCTTTGGAAAGGAAATATATAATTATTTTGCCGCATGCTGTAAAGAAACGAAGTGACTCGGTAGCAGTCTATATAAAATACGGTGAAAAAGCATTATTTATTATTACAATAAATCTGCAGAATATACGAAAAAAATATTAATTTGATATAAGATAAATTAAATGATTTTCGAATTATATAAGATAACTATATTATTAAAAAATAAAGAATTACTTTATTAGGAAACACACTTATTGCTTTTATACCGCGCAGTTTAAAGGGCAGTTATGGATTGATTAACTGAAAGATATTTTGCTTTACCAAATGGTTGCACTTGTATGTAAAATGATAAATGTAAGAGTCCAAAAAGTTTTAAAAGAATCTTTCAATTTTTTTTTTTTTTTTTTTTTACATTAATACTTATATTTGCACCTATATAGCTGTATCTATTGCTATATCTCTATGTCTACATATGTACAAATAATACTAAGACAAATAAAATATCTATAATTAAAACTGCTTTTATGTATATATGCGTACATGTGTATGCATAATAAAATAGATTAGATAGTTTTAAAGCTACAAATGATTTAAATTCATCATGTTTCATAATATTTGTTTTATTTATTATTGATAGAAATACAGTTCCTTATAAATGGAGTATAGTAAATGAGTGATTGGATACATAAGCAGTGATAATTTTATAAGCTGAATTAATAGACGTGCATTTAATTTAAAACTTCAGAAATCCAAGAAATGTTTAGCTCTAAACATAAGTCATCTCAGAAATTTAAGAATTAAATTTTTCAGACAAAGTATCATTGAACAATTTAAAGGAACAATATTTCCAAATCTCATATTATTTGCTTCTGCAACACTGTATTTCTGATAGAAATGTGGAATAATTGACATGAATCTTTCTGCAGGGTCATGTTTTTATCATCTGTTTTGAGGGCTGAAAATGATTCTTTTATACTGCATGGCGCTCCGTAAAGGCGCAGATTTCCGCTTGTTTACTGCAACTCAGAGAGATATTCTTCCGTCTTTTTTTCCCCCTCGTGTATATGCTATCTTTTTGTGTTGAACGGGTGCGCACTACAATAGAACTGTCATCTTCTACTGTAACTTCTATTCAGAGTTCAGGTCTTCCCATTATTCATTATGAACTTCAATGGAACTTCCTGCACAAAATGGCTTTTAAGGAAGAAAGGTGCTTCACGTTATAAAGTTCAAAAAGTAATCGCTTTGCAATAGTCTTTTCTCACTGTTTAGCGTTAAAAAGATGATACAATACCTATAAATTAAATAAAAATGGAGTTGTGACCAGGTCTCTTTGACAACAGGCTGTGCAGAAAGGTGCGTCAGGACACATTTCTTTGGTACTGTACTTTGTAAGCATTAAGAACATCTCAAGAGGCTTAAAAAGAACAATTGTGCAGGAATTGAATTCAATTGATAAATCGTTAAAGGATATTTTTAATACCTCTATAGTACAAAACTATAGTTCTGATTCTGAGGAAATCAGTTTTACCTCTCCAAATAGAAGAGTTAAAATACATTTACTGTTGTGAACTGAAAGTTATGTGATGGTATTGTTTTATTAATTTTATGTTTACTTCTTTAATGCCTATACAGAGTTGAAAAGCCATGCAAACATGCATCTTTTGCCGGTTTTGCACTATTTTAAATCTACACCACGATACAATCAAGCGATAAGATGGTTTTCTTGCTGAACAGAGAAAAGTCATCAGTTTTTTGCGGCTTCATTCCATTATTCTCTACTTTCCAGCCTTATCTCATATTTACTGCATGTTTTACACGCTATACTACTTAACTACTACTTATCAAACACTGACCTAGTATTGCTTAATGTAGTTTTACACGAACAACGAAAAAGTCTTCGCGCTTTGACCCTTACATTATAGAAGCCATTAACGTACATGAAGATTTTGATTTTTTGACAATCTTTCATAAATCTTTTATGAATTTTACGAAATGTTTCTGGCATATGCATTTCTAATTTTATGCTTAATTAACCTTTGGGAACAATTCCTCAATTATTTATCTGAATCTGTCCTTTGCTTGTACAACGTATTCCATACTTTTCTTCAGTTTTTACAAAATGCTGACCTTTGCAATAGTGTGTAAATGTATAGATGATGGATTTGATTATGCTCACATGCAAAATTATTTTTCCTAACCATAAATAATTCTATATTTAGAAAATTTATTAATATCTAAGAGTGAAAGAATAATTAATATTTTGATTTAGTTATTTTTAACCTAACTTCTGTGTTCTAAAGCTATTCCAAGAAACTACTAAGTGTAAAATATAACATATCAGCTAATTGTTCAGTTCTGAACATATGTAAAAGTTATGTAAAAAATGGTCAAACCATCAAAAAATATATTTTTTAAAGAAATAAAAAAAAATTTAAATTACCATCAAAAACAATTTTTTTTTAATATTTATTTTCACTTCTGAACGTATGTAAAAGTTAGGTAAAATTGCTCAACCCTTCAAAAAATGCATTTTTTTATTTATAAACTGCTTTAAATGTATTCATTTTTTATGTGATGCAGTATCCTGCTCTAAAACTAACTTCGTAGCAGAAAAAGACAGTAGTTTTAATGCATAAGGTAAAAATATTTTTCCTTTAAAGTGTTCTAGAACTGAATCTGAAGAACGCAGTAAAAAAATTTTAATTAAAATAATTTCGCCTGTTTTGAGGAATGACATTTAAATTATCAATTTGGTTGTATTTCTGTCCATAAATGTGTAAAATCTAATAAATTTGTTACGATTTATATTTATCATTCAGCAGCCTTCTACAATTTTGTTTTCTCATGTTCTTAAACTTAAATCAGAGACAAGAAACTAGAAACAAAAACTACTGTCAAATGCAAAATAAATTTAATTTCTTGAATTCAGCATTGCTGTAAAGGTTGACACAAAATCAAGCCTATAAAACCAGTTATTCCATTAAATCAGCATCACTCGTATTAAACTTATCGGTGTTTATGATTACACATTTTAATCGAATTACAACATCAGTAGTTCTGAAAAATGATTTCGTAGTTAGAGTACAAAGTAAGAAAAACATGATCTCCGAAAACGTAGTTTTAAGGTTAAAATACTAAAAAATTATCTTACTGTCTCTACAATTATTAAGAACTTTTTCATTTTCAGATCTTAAGATTATTAAAAATTAGAACCAAATAGTTGCTGAAATTAAATACCTAAAATGCATGAAGTTCTGAAGAAATTTATTGTCCTCTTCCATTTATAAGGTATTTTCTCTATCCTATCCGCGTGTCTTCGTGGTGCAACTGGAAACACGTCCGAACCGTCGGGCGTTCGAATACGGCAAGGATATCGCACATTTTTCACGTCTTTCACATCAATAAACATAATGACTCTTCAAGTAGCACCTGTACTAAAAGGAGGTGAATAATAATTCGTTACAACTAGGATTTGATCTCTAGGCCTCCTCATCGCCAGGTGCCTCTTAAAAGGGGGGGGAATATAATGTGTTTCCTTCTTTCTTATCGCATGCCTTCGAGGAGTAATTGGGAGTTCCAAAGTTCGAGTCTCGGCGAGGGTATTGCACATTTTTCATGTCTCCTGCATCGATAAACCTAATGAATCAACAAATTAATGATTTCTGTTCCATTTATTGGTTACTGTAATTTAATGAAAGTCTTATTAAATTTAATTGAAGTAATGATGGAATTAATAATTTGAGTACAATTTATTGATATTGCATTTCATTCTATTTTTTAAATGTATGCGGTTTTGTTTATTTTGAGAAAGGAGAAAAAGG